TAATAGTCATAAGTTGGCTTGGTCTTCATACTCTGGGCTCCCTTAAAAATAATGGGATGCACCAGATTGTCCACTGTGGACGTGAGCTGAGTACTGGGGTCGACACATAAGGGTGTGTAATCACCTGTTCGGAGTATCAAGTGTTTCATTTTTTTATCCTGTTGAATTTGTAGAACTTCATTTACTGCGTAAATCTTTTTATTAATGTAAGGGAAAAGACAGAAGGGTAACAACAACGTGTAACAACTAAAAAATGAGGCACTCGGGAATGTAACTATTTGTGTGTGCAGTCTGTGAGCTAAGAATATTTACATGAAATGATTTGTTAGTGTTACAAACCCATATTTAAAAATTATATTCACTGAGAAAAAAGAGACACTATTATTATTATTGTTCAACTTATATATTTTCATATACTGCATCTCCCCCCAAAGCAGTCTCGCAAGACAGCAGTCACCATGAAACACCTATGGGCACTCATCCATCCATTCGCTTCCGCTTTTCCTTTTCAGGGTCGCGGGGGGCACTGGAGCCTATCCCAGCTGTATTAGGGAGAGAGGCAGGGTACACCCTGGACAGGTCGCCAGTCTGTTGCAGGGCTAACACACAGGGACAGACAACCATTCACACTCACATTCACACCTAGTGGTAATTTGCATTATCCAATTAACCTAACCCCACAAGCTGCATGTCTTTGGACGGTGGGAGGAAGCCGGAGTACCCCGAGAAAACCCACGCAAACACGGGGAGAACATGCAAACTCCACACAGAAAGACCCCGGCTTGATGATAGAATTGAACTCAGGACCTTCTTAGCAGTGCTAACCACCGTAATGGGCACTCATTTCTGCTTTAAAAAACAAAAAAATTCCCAGGACCATTGCTTCCATAAGATAAGATAAGATAAGATAAGATAAGATAAGATAAGATAAGATAAGATAAGATAAGATAAGATAAGATAAGATAAGGAATGAAATACTATATACATTAGAATAAAGAACTATACAAAATAGAATAAATAACACGCATCTAAATGTTAGAGAATTTTTAATAGATCTTTGCTGGAGTGCCATTCATTCATTCATTCCATAGATTTCAAATCATCATTAACTGCTTGGCATGTCTCTGATATAATGTCCAAATTTCCGGCAACAATGAAGGCCACAGCGAGTGGGCGTTACGCCGTTGCTTAGTAACGGCTGTTTACCTCCTTCTCCGACAGCTAAAGTAACAACCGTCAACTTCCACTGCAAGAAACAGTCAGAAATTCACAGAACAGGACCTCAGACTTAAAGCAGATAAACATCTTGTGCAACAGCAGGTGTCCGTGACGGTCTGCTTCTACTAGCTACAGGTTTGCTGTTTCTGTGAATTGCAGCCCTGTTGTTCACAGGCTGCTCATGCTATGCAGTTGTTGGGCAGGACACTCGTTGCTCTAAGTGGGTCACACATTTTTCAAGTTTGTCTTTTCACTGCCCTACACATCCTATTAAGAAGATGTATAATAATTATAATTAGTATTTTTGTTGTGTCTTCACCTGGATGTTGCTTTCTGCTAAAGCAACTTGCAAACCGGATGGTGAAAAGATTTTAATGACAACGTTAGCTTCACGTGTTCCTCTGCTTGTCATCAGTATTTCATTTTTTGATTTTGTGAGATGACAAAAACGGTAGTTCCTGAGTAATCACATTAAAACGCTCATCTGGTAGTTATTATAAGAAGACCATAAGCAGCAAGACTCTCAAAGGCTGCTATATATGTCCTGTTTTGGGCAACAAAAAACAAACATTATTATTCATTTATGTAAAGTTGAACAGGATAAGAGGTGTTTCTGCTCTCAGAGTACACATGAAATAAGTAATTAGACTGCAACTATGGGACGTGGTGAAGGGAATTTACACCCGGTGAAGATGACAGACTTTGAAAGCTGTTGCTTTCAAAGTCTGTCCTACAGTACGCGAACAAGTACCAACACAGACCCCCTGAGCATCTATATGTAAATGTTGCCCTTTATTCTAGACAGCATTTGGTTTTTATTTAGACTTGTTCTCTGCATTCATATTGTTTTATAATGTTGAGCTGCTCTTTGAGTTTGTGTGTGGCCCACCTCTAGAGCCACACAGTATCGAAATTCTTCCAGCCAGTGATCAGACCAATGAGATACGCCTCTGATACATTTCTGACACAGATCACCTGTGATTTTAGGATTGGCTGAGCACCTGTGGAGCAGCTGGAAATGAAAGGCACTGAGATGTTAAAGTCCTCAGGCTCGAAAGGAACAGGTGGGTACAGGATTAAATGCAAAGCACGAAGGCAAAAGAAATAACATTAAAAAGTGATTATGGTGATGATTGTCAGGGGGACCAACAAATGCTCACGCACCAGCCGAACCTCTCCTCGTGTATAAAGCTAAAGAGGACAAAGAACAGACTGAGAATGTGAAGTGTGAAGACCTTAAGGCTCCAGTAGAGCTTTTAATGAAGGTATAGCAATGCAACTGGTCCAGCTTGTCCACACTTCATGCTCTGTCCACAGAGTGCTTTTTTCTTTGCATGTCTGAAATGTTTTTGCTTAACTTTAAAGTGAAAATGTTATCTTTCAGTTCCTCAGAGCTCTGAAGGACAAATACTTCCAGCTGGCTGTTAAACTCTGTCACATGAGTACGTATCTGCTATACATCTATCTGTCGGTCAATGAATAAGTCAGCGAACCATCAAGTTAGTCAATGCTGCCTCTTCTCTCCTCGCTCCAGTTCTCATCTACGAGCCAGACAATCCTGAGGCCTCAGAGTTCCTCCCATTGATCCAGAAGAAGCTGCTGGAAGGTGACAGTTGTCTTTGTACAAACACTTTAGGCTGCATGTTACAGACTAAACATCGAAGGTGTTGTTTGATTTTTCCATCAGAGCAACACGCAGAGAAAAGCAACGAGGAAGAAAGTGATGATGATGACATTGATTCTGGAAGTGATGAGGACCCCTCTCATAGCTCATCTTGCTCCTCTTCATCAGCCTCAGATGATGATGATCATGGTGATGATTATGAAAAGGAAAACCATGTTTACAAACACAAGCCATGCCCTCCTGCTCATATTTACCCTTATTAAAGCTGTACGACCTGTCTAGCAGGGACTATGTTACATATATTGTGTTTATTTTAAGGCACACTGCTGCTGCCCACAGTTGCAGTCTTTTCAGTGTAGACACAGTGACAGTTACATATTCTCTCATATTTTCACCTGGAATTAAAGGAGCTCATGTGGACTGAGCGGATGCCCTCATTTCCTGAAAATGTGAACTGATAAATCGCTGATAGATCAGCCGTGAAAATATACGGACAAACCACACACACGCTTCCTGATAAATCCGATAAACATTTGCACGTTGACCTGCAGAAGAGACTGTAAATGAGTCCACTCGATCAGAGTCATATCCATTTTGAGAATCATTATGTGATTAAATGTAAAATACCTTAACCTGTTTGAACTGATGCTAAAAATGCATTGGAAAATACAACCCTGCAGTTTTATGACCAGACATGCTAAAACTGAACACTAGGAACACACAGCACATACAGTTAGCAGCTAACTGCTCAACACAAAGAAGCAGCTGAGGAGTTTCGGCCTATAGATCTGATGATATGTAAATGCTGCATTCGTGTTCCTCATTCTTGTTATAATAACAGATATTTAAAAGTCAAAAATCTTCTAAGCGGTTATGTTTGATCATCACTTAAAGTGTCATCAGCAGTCTCCAACTATTGGTCTCCTAGCAGCAATCTGGACACTCTGCAGCCAACTTGGCCAACCCTTTGATGCTGACTCTAGCAGTTATGTTAAAACATTATCTAAACTGTCACCGGGACATACAAAAACATGTTTATGTATCATCATTCAGATTGCATGAAATTCAACAAAAAAACACTTTCCCCTGGAAGTTTGCACGTCTGCCACCATGTTTGCTGAATCCTCCCATGGCTTTGATTTCAGGATTCTTTAAACATCAGCTCTCTCTCTGTGAAGATGATAAGCGATGCTGCATGACAGGGAAAAGATGTGGTATAAGGAGTATGTAAATTTCACAAATTTGTGCATGAAACAAGAGAGACCAAAGTCATGATTTCTTACTTGTTTTGTTTTTCAGTTTTCACTGTGGATGAGAGCTGTAACGTGACCCAAACAAAAGAACTGATTCTGGAGTCCATCTGGTCCACTCTCCAGTCTTTTGTTATGGCGGCAATTAAATTAGCACAAATAAAATGTTAGCCTATGTAAACTCATAAGCAGTGAAGACCTTTTATGTGCCCTGTTTTAGTGCAGATGTAAATCCCAGCAGCTAAGCCTCCTTGTTGAATGCCATCAGTCTGAGTTTATCTTTATGCATCTCCACATGTCACTTGTGAGTGTAGAAAGATATGATTGGCTCCTGATAAAGGCTGAATAAATTGCAGCGGCTGAATGAACATAATGGCTGGTCCCTGTCTGTGCACTGGATCCAGAGGCAGGCGTGAGGATGACAGAAAGGACACTAAGCCAGCGCCCGCCATGCTTTGAAGTCTCGGCGTTATTGTCCGTGGCGAGGTTAAAGCAGTGAGTAGGTCAGAAATTATGATGTAGGCAATGTTTTCATCTCATGAAGGTGAATATTACAGACAGTGCTTGCATGGATGGATGGCTCCTGGATGGCTTGTCCTGCTCGCTTTATAATACGTGTGTCCATTCTGGAATAAATGACCTAACAGCTTCCACAGGTCCCCAAAACCAAATCAATCAACAGATATGAGGAGATGGACCGGATGTCCTGAATATGTATCTGTTGGTATTTAAAAGCCCAGCTGTGCAGTTTCATTCCAAGGTCAATTTCTATGTAACCAAATTTACATTCAAGTCTCCACCCTCATCCCTGTGACACCCACCCACACCTGGAGACACAAGAGCTCGCCCACACACACATATACGCACACAGGGGCGGGTAAACGTCATCGGTATTTTTCCTTTTGCTTGTTTGGTTCCTTAAAGTGGATTGCAGCTGTCAGTAGCACTCAGGGAAGCTTCATTAGCCGTCAGGGTGGGAGGCAAGGCTGTGACTCATGCCTGCGTGAAGAGACCAATGGGCAGCCGGATCCTCAGATATAAATAACGAATAAAAATATTCTTGAGTGAGAAAGGGTCACTTGCGCGCCGCCGGATGGGATTTTATCAGTGCGCTCTGTTGATATTCCGCCATCGCCACCACTGGACTGTTTCTTGTCGCGCCTTCGGGTGGCAGTTGTAACATTTAAGTTGTACTTTGTCTGGACTCGACAACCTGTGCGCCCCGTGAGCCGGTAAGATCCCTTCTTTTCTTCTCCAGCTGCACCCTTCGTGTCTGTTTCTTCAGAGACAGAGGTTGGGGGGGAAGATGCTTAAACCACTCCACTTTTCAGCCGCTGATATCGTGCGATCAGCTTTGGAGGACAAAATATCAGAGCATAAATTAAACAATAATAATAATAATAATAATAATAGAATTCTCACATAAATCATTCCCAGACGGGAGACAAAACGAATTTATTAGTTGTTCAGCCTCTCTCTCTCTCTCTCCCTCTCTCGCTGCCTCTCTGTCTCGTGATGACATTGTAGTAAGGGTGGTGTTCAAAGCATATCTTAATTGAAATGTCGATTACTGAGTCAACACATGAACGGGGAACGGTTATTTATGTGGACACTGTCACCTCATTTTATCAATATTTGCTGCCTGTGAAGTATCATTTTAATGCATTCGTTTTATTCTGATTTTCTGATCATCTCGGTGATTTTATACGATGGGAAACGCGGGCCTTACCTGTTCTTTCTTTAATATTTTGGTTTTGGTCGTTTAAAATGTCATCTGTTATATAACAAAACATTTTTTTCTTTTTAAATTAAACGATGATTTGGTTTTAACGATCCACAAGAACTTACTGCAAGAACGAGCCATGTTTCTTTTGCTAGTTCCCAACTTAAAAACAAAAAACAAATCTGTAAATCTGTGTCATGCAGCAGCGCTGGGTTAGTTAACAGCTGACTGAAAGCAACACAATCCGAAGAGTGTCTCTAAATAAAACCTATACCCATGCAGCCATTTTATCCCCCAAAGTGTTGCGATGTGCGTCTTGGTTGCGCGTTGTGCGCAACTCACTCCAAATTGCGCGGCTTCAGCCGTTTAAGGGAGAATGAAGCGCTCCTGGTGACTCACGGAGCAAAAGCGTTTTCTGATCAAAATCTCGGCCTGCCGTTTAAACTGCACGCAGTTATCGGAAATCCGACACGCAGTCTCTCCTAACACTGAGTCGTTTTGTTTGCAGCTGAATAATTCCCGCACCCGGAAACCAAAGTAACACAGGACTGATGGCTACGTCTGAGCCGAGAGCCGCCGGCGGGGAACAAGACCCCAACTCAGCTAATTTAAGACCTCCGACCACAAGTAGGTCCCCACACTCCTCTCCCTGTTAACAACACTTTGGCTTCGGCTCCCCGAGGCTAAATTGTGTTTATGGTTTTCAGTCTTCAGAGCGCTCGGGCTGTGGTGAAAGCCACTCGGTGCCTTGCTCAAAGACACTTCTGCAGCGCGATCTATCGCCAGCACAGCGGTTTAAACCCAGGTTCACCCTCCACGCGCCTCTGTCTGCTTCTCTCTCTCCCTCTCTGTCTCTCTCCCCTCCTTCCCTGTCTGATAAAGGAGAGTGCAGCCCGGGCCATTTGCTGTGTGGGCTCCGTCGTTAATCATTCCGGTTAAAAACAGAGCCATCACAGCTGCCTGTCGCTGTCTGGCGGACCAGCCGTGCGCGCCGAGCGGCGGACCTGGCAGAAATAATGCGCCATTAAAGCGCTGGCATTTCTAACGATCTCGGAGCGTTTTTCCTGAACGTGTTCTATTCAAAATATGAGTTTCAACCCAAAATTAAAAACATGAAGATTTGAAGATTTGATCCTGTGCACCTTTCGTCTTGATAAAGCAAAAAAAATTGATATAAGAATTGTCTGTAATAATTCTCATAGTTTAGGCATGCTTTTTATTCGCTTCCTTTTTAAAAAAGAAAAAGAAAAATCTAAACCTGTGCATTAACCTGTGGGTTAATTAATCACGTCGAGCCTTTGTCGCATACACAAAATTGACTCCATTAGAGCACACTTGAGCAGCCATCTGCAGTCCAAAGCAGGGAAATAATTGCAGTTTTTGTTTTTTCAGAAAAACGTTACAGGGATAGCCTGCAGCTCCTTTTGTCCGGTGTGCAAATACATGCTTTATTTTCCCTTCCTCGTTACCGGATACAAAATTTCGAAATCTTTTATTTGTGGCCCTTGAGTGCCAATAAACATATAAAAAAATCTTCAGACTTTTTCTTTCATGGAAATTTAAACCAAGAAAATGTCCTTTTAAACTAGGATGTTTGTTTTGTCTGTTTGCTCGCGTACTGCTGCTGCTGGATGTTGCCATTATCTCTCTGCCACGCTCCATCTCACGCCTGGCGGCTTTGCGTGCGCGCGCGTCTGTGTGTGTGTCCGTGTATGTGTGTTTTTATGCCTCGGCCTCCGCACCTAGGGCTGTTTTTTGTCGGAATGAGATTGCTTCAGTAAATTTAAATGCTTGTTTTTTTGTTTTCGCAAGTTCTACATCAGGTACATTCGCCTCGTCGCTTCTCACTTTTTGCGCCGAGCGCTCTGCATCTTGTTCCCTGAGGCTTTCTTCTCCATCTCAGCTCACGCGTGTCCACGCTCCGGTTTGTATGTGCATGTGTGTGGCACTAAGTGTATATGCATGGGCGTGTGTGTGTGTGTGTGTGTGTGTACGTCGACGCACTACGCTCCAAGTTTGTGCTTCAAGCGCCTACTGTATACTTCCAGACCAGAGACATTACCAGCTCGCTCCACTCACATACTGCGATCCACTCAATTAATTTCTGCCCTCCTCCGTGAGCTCATTTCACGGGTGTTAATTCCAGTCCGCCCTTTGGCTGGGTGTGTGAGCCGGCGTGGATTTGCCGTGCGGGTCACTGTCGGTCCCTATTGATTGAACTCAAATCGGAAGTGTTAGCAGACTCATCCCCCCCCCCCCCCCCCCCCTCCCTCTTGTGATCAGAGGGGGTGTAAGGAGGCTAAATCCGAGTTCAACAAAGCAAAACAGTCCGTGCAATTCTTTACAGAAAATATGAATATACCCAAACACCCCACAGTCGCACACCTGGCCAAGAGTCGCTCCTTCACGCTTCCATTTATTTATTTTTTGTTCCATGTGCACGCTGTGCTCCATCACCCGCCTCACCACATTTGCTCGCGGTCTCCACGCTCAGAAACTCAAACGTTCATTTTGTTTTAGCCAACGAATACGCGTGGATGCACGGATGCACAAGGAAACTGGGGATGAAGATTTGCGGTAAGTTTTGTTTCGCCACGAAAAAAATGGTTTAATCTTGAAGATGTTATTTAAGAAAATGAAATAAAGAAATACATTTTTTAAAAGATTTTTTGACATACCATGGCTCTCGATATTGAATTCCGTTATGACTGCTTTCCTTCCTTTTTTTTTTCCTTCTGACCGGTTCACATTTTCTTTTACGATTTATTATGATCTTACTCATTTCGAGGCCCTCAGAAATATAGGCCACATTACAGGTTGATAGAGCGGGGCCGTCCTCCACACTGTCAGTGTGCGTTTCCATCTTCCAAAGGTCACTGGACATTAGCCTGTAGGTCTGCTGAGGAGAGCCCCGGATCAGGCCCCCCGCCCCTCCTTGCACCCTCCCCTGTCTTTCCCATTTCAGCACCAATAGAAAAATCTCCGGGGCAAGCCTGGAAACAGAAAGCAGAACGTGCCTTAAAATAACTCGTAACGATTTGCTTTTCCTATCACATCCGGTTATTTCTTGAGTCACTTTTCTCAGGCTTACTGTCAGTGTCTCTAATAGCCCCCCTTTTTTTTCTATTTTCTTTTTTGTTACAGTGGAGGGGGTGGATGTGACGTTTATTTTCTCCATCACTTAAAGGAATCTGCTTCTTTCAGAGGCTCACACGATGGAAAGTGTGGATGTTTATTTATTTGCAGTCACGCAAGTTGAATTCAGTGTCACGTAAAGCTCTACCCATTCAAAAGGCGCATTATTGACCGTTTTGCTGCAGCACAAGTCTGAGAAAGTCTGACATTGTTTTGTTTGTTTTTGGTTTTTTAGTAAGTGATCATCGGATTTTCATTAGGTAAATGACGTTTTAACCCCGCGCAGTGGCCACTAATTATTCATACGCTTTATTAATGAGCAATGAACATTTTCACTGAAAATATATTTTTAATTTAAGCGACAAAGAGCGTGTGGCTTCCCCGTGTTTTTGACGCGCAATTAGGCCCACGCATTATTCTGCACATATATGCGAAAAGCTTATAAAATCTGACGGTGGCCCTGTAGAGACACGCTGCTTCAGGGCACTTTGCATCCTTCATTAACCCCTCTTCGGAGGGTGTATATTTATTGGCTGTGTGTGGCAGCCTGTCCTGAGCACCGAGGCAATCAGTCTGCGCCCATAGGGGAGGGGCAAGCTGGCTGGGCGCTTCCTGACGGGGTGAGGCTGTGATGTCACGGGATAAGGCGGGCACCCACGGGTGCTTCCTTTTCCTACTTAGCTTATAAATTTGGCCTCCAACAGAGAAGCTTTTCAGATTGAAGTATTCCGGCTGTTTATGGGCTGATTAAAAAATTTCACAAAAATCTCAATTTTCTTTCTTGCTTTTTTTTTAAAATTTATTTTCTGTTATATTTTAATTTCGCCGTTTTTCTTTTTGTTTTTTGTTTTTTTATGAGTGGGATGGAGATGTTTGGTGATAACTCCTTCTCTTCGCCGTGCAACACCTTAGGGTTCCTGCAGAAGAACAACAGCCTGGAGGAGAAGGGGAGGCTCGCGGGCCAGAAGAACTTGCTCTCTTGCGATAACAGCGACAGGGACGCGCGCTTCCGCCGTACCGAGACCGACTTCTCCAACCTGTTCGCGAGAGGTGAGGAAACCACACTTCCGCTATCCCAGATCTTCCTTAAAAAACACCAACATTATTATTGTTATTATTATAACTCGGGCGTTTTAAACATGGCTTTCTTGACATACAACAGAGAAGAGCGTCTTCACTTGTCTGTCTGCCATCTCTGCGTTTGTCCTCTTTTTGCTTGATAATGACAGTGAGCTTTACAGGAAAATTAATTATTAGGCCAATATCAACAGAACGAACGAGAGGCCAAACTGTGGTTGGGTTATTCATGTATGTATTGTGATGTAAACCGTGCTTTCGGAGGCTAAACTCGAGGCTTTATAAAAGCCTTGCAGAACTAAAATACTTGGATATTCCGGTGGCAGAAATGTGACTTACGAAGTGAGGGGGGGAAGCTGATTTTAACACCTTAATTTAGCGCAAGCGTGATTTTGTGCTATTTTCATGTCCGTATCAGTTTTTTTTAAGTAAATTAAGACAACGCGACGGAATAAATAGATTACAAAGCACTATTTTTTTCTTAGATTAAATATAAAATACTTTCCTTTCAAAGAACAGAATTTATTTTGATGTCATCTTAAACATAAGTGTTTGCCTACTCTTTCCTGTTAAAATGTCTGCTGAGAAATGTCTTTTGTGTGTTTTGATGGCTATTTCACAACTTAAAGCCTGCTAGCCAAAACCTAAGACCAATTATGGAGCCGTCTTTATTCGATCTAGCACAGAAATGTAGCCCGAGAAACTGCGGGGAAAATGGAGAGAATTTTAGAATTTCACTCAAAAACAAAGTGCATTAGCTTTACAAAAGATAAGCTAATCGATTGACGTGCTCAGATATTAGCTCCCAGAATCACAAATGGCTTCATTTCCCCTACTTTTCCCACGCCTCTTTTAGACCTACTGCCGGCTAAAAATGGAGAAGAGCCCACCATGCAGTTTTTGCTGGAGGTGGTTGACATCCTTACCAACTATGTCAAGAAGACTTTCGACCGGTCTACAAAGGTTTTGGATTTCCACCACCCTCACCAGCTCCTGGAGGGGATCGAGGGCTTCAACCTGGAGCTGTCAGACCAGCCCGAGTCCCTGGAGCAGATCCTGGTGGACTGCAGAGACACGCTCAAATATGGCGTCCGCACAGGTAAGGGCTTTGGGACGACCTTCATCGTGGAGGAAACATTAACCTACCTCAACAGGGAAAGATTTGTTTTGTTTTTTTGTTTTTTTTTAGTATATGTGCTTGGGTAACTCACATGGAGGTGTGTGTTATTTTTGATGGCAGAGGAGATTGGTATGTGTGATGTGGGCGAAGATGCAATTAACTTTTAATTTTTTGCATTGAAAGCAAACAGCAGTGAGAGATGTAGTCCTGCACCTTATTACTGCCACACACATTATAGTAATAAAGCAGGACATTACATCTCTGTTAATATCCACACATGTTCAGTGTGTGGATTTTGAATGTGACACAAACTATTAGAGAATGGGCCATTTCTCGCAGAGTACACAGCCTATTTAGATGACTGCCACATGTATTGTACCCCTGGTAATTCACTTCACATCCTCCCTTTTTTCCACCCCCCGACTTATTAAAGCATGTGTCACCTGAGGGGATCCTAACACGGGCTGATTCAAGCTGTTAAAAACGACAACGCTCAAACTGTCCCCCGGGTTTTATATATCAGGCAGTCACTGACTGTGTCTACAACTCAGTAGCACTTTTTTCTCTCCCTCTCTTTCTTCTCAAAACATTTTGTGGCTGTTTTTTTAGTTTGTGGGCTGGAGGAGCTGTCGGCGGTGCTGAAACCACACACCTTTCATTTCTTTTGTCACAGCTGTTATTTCATTTTTATTGTTAATTCTTTTTATTACTCTGTTTATTATGTGAGGCAGGCACCTCCATAACCACAGTGTACATGTATCCATGACTGCATACAGGCTCCAGGTCTACACACAGTCACTGTGTGTATATGTGTGTGTGTGTGAGAGTCTAAATGCTTGTCATACAGCTGTTATGGCCCACTGAGCAGCGCTTTGTCAGATCCCTTTGCTATTATGGTTGGCCATGGAAATACAAAATGAAACCTGAATGATGACTGAATTTAAACCCATTATTGAACTTTTTAATATTTATTTTGTATTATTTTTTTCTCCCTTTAGGTCACCCACGCTTCTTTAACCAGTTATCTTCTGGCCTAGACATTATTGGTCTGGCTGGAGAGTGGCTCACCTCCACCGCCAACACCAACATGTAAGTCACACAGTACGCTCTCTGTACCGAGTGCCTGACACAGTTTATGTATAGAAGGGAAACACCTATACAATTCACAGGGGGACAACTGATATTTCCTGTTTGTAGGCCAGTGGAAATAGCCTCTAGTCATCATCATATATTAGCATTGCGGAAGTGCTTATGATGTACCCCTGGGCTCACTCCACCACTGGTCAAAGGAGGCCGATTATATAAAGTGTTTGTGTTTTCTCCCCCTGTATTGACAGATGGTAGTCTGGCACAGTGCTATACTGTGTGTATATCACACACCACCAAGCCCCAGGGGGTGGTTAGATTGCATATTGATCTCAGGTCACAGTTACATGTTCACCCAGCTTGAGTGGAGAAGGCCTGAACCCCACATCAGTTGCACACGCTCTCAGCACACAGATCCTGACGCAGACATGCTGTGAACGAAAAGCCACAACTCTGTGACACGATTACTGGAGTGAGGTGACAAATTATAGCAAAACACAAGCACACTCACAGAGATTCATACAGACGACCACAGTCAGTTCATCCACATTTTTTACTGAGCAATAATCAGCCTAATATTTATAGCAATGTCACTTTCATGTGATTTTCTTAGATTTTGATGTGTATCAATAGCAACGTTTAAAATATTAATAATTTCACCTTCCAAAAATATTCGTAGTGAAATGATTCAACTTTTTACGTATGAAATATCAGAAGTGTGTGGAAAAAACACCCCCAGTTATCCACAACAAAAGCAGTCATTATCAAATAACCTGTTTAGTCTGTCCAGCAGTCAGTAGTCAAAGGCTAATAAATTCTATTGTTACATAACACAAAGAAAAGCTGCAAAATGCCACCATGGAGGCTGGAAATGGGAAATGTTACAGAATACAATAAGAGGCAATCAGCTAATCAACTTATTCTGCAGCTGTTTTATTAGTGAGAGACACAAATCAGTTAAGGTCTGTCAAAAACAGCTGAGGTTTGGTAGGAGTGCTTTATTTATGTAGGGTTTTTTTTTATTTCTTTAGAGGAGATAATAACGAAAGAATGAGGATTGTTTTAAGCTAAGGCTCGATCATGTAGTCATTATTAGATCATGAAGAAAATATAAACTGCATGGTTTCTGTATATATTTACAGTTCACCCATTACCCAAACAACCTTTAAACATTACAGCTTCTTACAGACTGGGTTCCTTTAACTAGTCATTAACAGCTTCATATGGCAATCACAATGAAACTATGATATGATAATACAGATGTTTGTATCGTGACTTCAGTCTCAGTTCAGACTTGCCGCATTCATAGATAGGAGAAAACTGAACTGAACTTCCAGTGAAGTGCAAAAATCACACCTGCATAAGTCTGACTTGGTGAAAGGGTTGGCACATAACTGCAGAAAATAACAGGACGAGTGCAGCACAAAAGGTCACCCAGAATAAACATTAATTACAAGACAATGCACTTTAGACCTAAAAGAATATTGTCCAAACTTGCTTCTGAGGACAGTAAAGCAAAGGCTAGAAGAAAACTGTGACACCTAATTTGTCCAATTTCTATTAAAACATTAGCATAGGAAACTACCTTCTTAGAAAAACTTTCCCATCTCATTTCCTGGTTGGAAGAATGCCCCAAGAGACGGGGCCATTGACTTCCCACACACGCTTGTGCACGCTTTCATAATGACACACGCACACATGCACACACACCAGCTCTGGCTGTCCCAGATACAGCAGCTAGGGTTTCCAGTCCATTGACTACAGGCTCATTGTGAGCTGGTGTTAGCAGATAGGCCAGCTGGGCCCCACACTGAAACACAATGTCCTCCGGCTGCACAGAAAACCCTGTTACATTGTGGAAACTGGCTGCCGCAGCTCCCCACGGAGTGCTCATTCCGGCTCTATTGTCCCCGTGGGTACAGATGGACTCAGTGGTCCTTTGAGGGGCTGAGAGGAATGTGTGTGGTGGTGATGGGGGGTCAGAGGATTAGTCACATACAGACACACGCGCAAACACACACACACAAACACATCCATAAACACACTTACACGCACACATTGAGTGCCCTTGATGATGATAATAAGGGCATTTAGGGGCTGTCCCTGGGGACAGGCAGGTGACTGAGGGGTAATTTTCACCCTGAAAAGACCAATGATTGGCTCTGATTGTGATAATGATCACCATTATTGCCATTACAGCGTGAAATGACTCAGAGAGAAGGAGAATTTTAAAAAGGTTGACTGGGGTTTTTTGTACCTTTTTTTTGTCCTGTGGCTGGGATGAGTTTTGAGAAGAAAGGAATATGAGACATCCAGGTTATTAAGTCTGCTTTATATAAACCATAATTCCACTATATCAAAGGACACTAAATTGGTGAGATGAGGCCAGTGAGGGACTGAAAAGTGAAGTGTTATCTTTGGGTGTAGCAAATCATAGTCACAGCCCAGAAGTCATAGAGTAGTCCAGCGCATTTACAAAAGCTAAAAATCATCAGCAGAAATATTTACACAAGAAAAATGCCTCCTTGGTTATTTTTCTTCATCTTTCATATTTTTTTTTCAATTTCTCTTTGTCTCTTTGTTTTTGTTCTCTGTCACTCAGCCTCTGCGTTGTGCGTGCTTCATGATGTTGCTTTGCTGCGTGCTTTTCTGTGCGCACCCTGCATCATCCCCTCATCTTCCTTTGTTGTCCTCTGTCACACTTCTCTTCATTGCATTGTTTCCCTAAATCTCACTCTGCTCGCAGACTTTATACCTCCCCCTTTCTACCAAACTACAAAAAACAACCTCAGCCCTTGTGCAGATAGCTATTTGAGGGGAGGGGAAAAAGACAGGGAGGAATCGAAGAAACGTGGAGATAACGCTGCTTCTAATTTGGGTGATGGGTGAAGCTACAGCGATGGAGGTGGAGGAGCGTTGTGTAACTGGCCTCATTAGAAGCGGGGTAAACAGGGATCAGCGTTAAGGGTGCGTGTGGGAAGCAGTGAAATGTCACTTAGCAAAGAGAGCAAAAGCTCAGGCCTCCTTTCTGTGACACATTTGACCCACTTTAGCTTCTCCAGGAGTTTTGTTGGTGGCTGTTCATGGAGATAACAGTCGTTTTATCTTTTATTAACTGACAGAGAGGTCAGGCACATATCAAGCTTTAAAAGCATTGGCTCATTTCAAGAGTGTGAAGATTACTTCTTTTTTTGTTGTTTTTGAATCTTTTCTCTTTCATCTTTTTAATGAAATAATGAAATTCATAGGCATAGGCTCTCCCTCATTTTTTCTATATTCTGGGGCCAACAGAGGCTGTTATCTCTGTTGGCTGTTATCTCTTTAAAGCACTCCCTCTCCCTGTCCTTCTGTCACACACACACACACACACACACACACACACACACGCGCGCGCGAGTTCTCTCAGCCATCACATCAGCCCCATTCAGAGTCGCCGCTGAGATCGGCACCATTGACAGATATCCATCAGAGCTTTGTGTGCTTTAATTAAACCACTGAGTGATTTTAGGAGGCATTTGAATATGAATGTTTGCTGGTTGACTCATATCGGCCACTTTTTAATTAGCCCAGTCAGCACAAGCTCCACTTTTGTGCTCTGCAGATGGAATTATAGAAGGACTAATGAATAATATGGACACACAATGAATATCACTGTGTGTGTTTTGGGGGAGTCTGTGGACTCTCTGCCTTACGAGTGCATAAGAATGCTCAGTGTCTCTGAATGATGTGCTGCATTCATTACTCGGTGTTATGATTGTCAGGTTCACCTATGAGATCGCCCCAGTGTTTGTGTTGATGGAACAGCTGACTCTGAAGAAAATGAGAGAGATGATTGGCTGGCCAAACGGAGAGGGTGACGGCCTCTTTTCCCCAGGTCGGTCTGTAAATCACACTACCCATGTATAGCCAATATTCATATTACTGTATGACTTTTGGTCCAAATATTCCACGTGGATGTACACTGCACAGACTGTGTGCTGCTGTCCAGGGTACTGATGTGTGTGCGGTGTGCTTAACAGGGGGTGCTATCTCCAACATGTACAGTGTGATGATCGCACGGTACAAGTATTTCCCAGAGGTGAAGACCAAGGGCATGTCTGCTGCTCCCCGCCTTGTCCTTTTCACATCTGAGCATGTAAGTGACCACACACACACACACACACACACACACACACACACACACACTGTACATCTCAGGTAATCTAACAATGCAGATAAGCTACTTCATTGACTGTAGATTAATCAAAGTCAGGGAATAAGCAGTAGGTCTGTTTAAATCAGGGCACTGGCTGTTTCAATTAATTCATTATTTTAGTTTTTTTGTATTTTGAATTTGACAACTTGACAGAGAGCAGGAAAAATGTCAAGCAACAATGAGCTCTCAAAATATCCCCCCTTTTTGAATTCAAAGGTATTTCATGGATAGCTTGGTCTGCTATGTGTCCCCACAGAGCCACTACTCCATAAAGAAGGCTGGAGCTGCGCTGGGCTTCGGCACTGACAACGTGATCCTGCTCAGCACGGATGAGAGGTTTGTAATCGTTGCAGAAATCATCTGATGAATACTGTATGTGCAACATGTAGATCCACAGCGATTCCATGCTGCTCTGCTCGTTTTCAGAGGGAGAGTCATTCCTGCGGATTTGGAAGCCAAAATCCTCGACGCTAAACAGAAGGTCAGGGGGTTTTTTTTTCCCCTTTTATTTTTTTAATATAATTGCATCTCCATGTACTTTTATCTCTAACCACATTTCTTTTCATCTATCCTGGGTACTACATCTGCAGGGTTATGTGCCATTGTTTGTGAATGCAACAGCTGGTTCAACTGTGTATGGAGCATTTGACCCCATCAATGAGATTGCTGACATTTGTGAGAAGTATAACTTGTGGCTCCATGTTGATGTGAGTAGTTTGCAGTAGTGATGATAGCAGGAGCTTCAGTGCGTCATCCACTCCTTTAACAGTACTGTTTTATCTCGTTAGGGTGCGTGGGGTGGTGGACTGCTGATGTCTAGGAAGCATCGCCATAAGCTTAATGGAATTGAGAGGTGAGCACATGGGAACTGATAAGCTCCTGTGTGTTGTTATTTAAAAGAAACCTCAGCGTGCTAACGATAGCACTGACAACATGTTTTGCAGGGCCAACTCTGTCACATGGAACCCACACAAGATGATGGGTGTGCCTCTGCAGTGTTCAGCAATCCTGGTCAGAGAAAAGGTACAGGAACACACACACACACACACACACACACACACACACACACACACACACACACACACACACACACAGTATCTTGTTTCTATTACTTCACCTTAAAAATTTATGATGACAAGTTTTAGGGACTTTTTTAATCCAAACGTTGGAGCAGGTCGCCACTTGGCATTATAAGGTCCACATATATATACATATGTAAAGCTATTGAGCTTTACAGCTATTGATGTTCTTAATTACTTCTGTTTATGTTTGTAAAGGGGTAGTAGTACAGGCAGCACACCAGCAAACATGTTTCATGCTTTTCTTTGAGTTAAAAGAATCGAATCATTTATGAAGACAAGTTATCCATCTGCGGTTAGAACACTGTGTAATAAAAGATAACTTGTACATCAACATGCTGTATATCTGAAAGATAACACAGAGACAGAATAAGACAATATGGAGGCTTTCATTCAGTAAGGTTAGTTTGACACAGACATGTAGCAAAAGCTTAAACATTTCCATTACGCTTTGGGTTTTTTTTCTTCATTATAACCTATGAAAAATACAGTTCTATGAATATCCATATTGCACATTCATACTCATCAGCTTTTCTTGGTACATGTAGTCTGACATGTCTAAATGATGACAGCCTGGGCAGGAGACCTGTGAAAGGAAATGTTAACAGTTTGTGCACTTTGTCTGTAGGGAATCCTAGCAGGCTGCAACTCCATGTGCGCTGGCTACCTCTTCCAACCAGACAAACAATACGACGTTACATATGACACAGGGGACAAGGCCATCCAGTGTGGCCGGCATGTGGACATCTTTAAATTCTGGCTCATGTGGAAAGCCAAGGTGAGCCGGGTGGACAGACGGGTGCATACATGCTGGCTAAAAAAGACAGAAAAGCATCTCCAAGCCAATAAGAACCTTCATGGCTTTGTTAGTGCAATGCTATTTAGTGCTATACTGAGTGTTCTTAACTGTAATTATTGGCTTCTCTTTTCCCCTGCAGGGCACCACTGGGTTTGAGCAGCACATTGACAAGTGTTTGGATCTGTCTCAGTACCTATACAACAAGATCAAGAACAGGGAGGGATATGAGATGGTGTTTGACGGAGTGGTGAGCTTCCCTCTTTTTATTTGTCCTTTACCAATGTCCAGTTTTAATCACCAGGGTTAATTCACTGCTGTTTAACAGAATTTTGTTGTATGTAAATGCAAATAAATAAATAAAAACCCACCGTGATCTGTATCTGACGTGTTCATTTCTGCCTGCAGCCGCAGCACACCAATGTTTGCTTCTGGTACATTCCACCCAGCCTGAGAGGCATGCCAGATGGAGATGAGAGGCGAGAAAAACTCCACAGGGTACAACTATAATCACACTATAAGTTCCACCACGATCAGCTTCAAACAGCCAATAAAAGATGTTCACATTATTAGATTGCTTTCAGGAATACAAGGCTCTGTTTTGTCATCTTTTTCACTCCAACAGGTGGCGCCAAAGATCAAGGCCATGATGATGGAGTCAGGGACCACCATGGTGGGCTACCAGCCTCAGGGCAATAAAGTAAACTTCTTCAGAATGGTCGTCTCCAATCCTTCGGTCACCCAGTCTGACATCGACTTCCTCATCGATGAGATCGAGAGGCTCGCCCACGACCTGTAGATCTCACAGCCATCGCTGCTCCAGGGCCTTCCCGGAGTCTGTGATCGATTTTACTGCAAAAGCGAACGCCAGAGTGAAACATTCACAGTGCTGCAGTCCGAGAAATAATAGGACACGTTTTAGGTTCTTTCTTTCCGGTCTGCCTTTGCCTGCAGCACTCTAAATGTTTTCACCGCTGGAAAGAAACGAGCAATGAGAGAGCCTCTGGAGTTTCTTACTAGCTCTGGCCCACATAGGTACTTCTATAGAAAGAAAAAAAAAAAAATATAAATATATATAAATATATATATATATATATATATATATATATATATATATATATATATATATATATATATATATATATATATATATATATATATATATATATATTATTTTTTTTTTTTTTTTTTTCTATAGAAGTTTCCTTTAAAAGCAAATGTGCTCTAATGTCTGTGTGTGCAATTGAGCCTTATAATGGCACAAGTGTGTGAAAGAGTGTGTGTGTGTGCAGTCTTTTAATGTTTGTCTTTTAATGTCTTGTGTGTGTGCCACAGCAAATGTGTGTGTGAGTGAGTGTGGTAAATTAATGAAAAATAAGGGGGGAAAGAACAGATCGAAGTATTACAAGTATCATCAAGTTATTCTGCTGTATCATACATGTGCTGCACAATATGGTGGTGCTTTCAGCTGTACATATGTTTGATCTCAGCACTCTGACCTGTTTCCCCTGAACCCGGTGTCCAAAGCCCCGCAGCGGCGTATTTTAGGCTCGCACTGTGTTAAAAATAAGCTAACGTGCTCAGCATAGTTACAGGTTGTGTTAAGTGTCAAGCTGTTACACGACTTCGGACCATCCGACAGAGCTACAGTCTGCAATAGTTTCCCTCGTAGAAGATCCCCATTTAAAGCTATCGTAGGTCTGTGACAACCTTTAAGTTGTAAAACTCTGGCTCGTTGTCCGTTCCCTGCAGTCACATCATGCCCATTTGTGTTTAAACCAATGTTAATATATTCATATTTGATGATATGGGAATGAGACAAAATATTTATTGCATTTCCGCAGGTGATTGCAGATTCAGGTATTTTATTGTACATGTATCTTTATGCGTGTTACGCTGTAACACAGTGAACCGAGTAAAGTTTATTTAAAGTGATATCGTCAGCCAAAGAGAGAATCGGGAACGCAGCAATCCATCGTCCTTCATGTATAACTTCTTATAGACTAGGTGTTTGTAAAATGTTACCTGTTGACCTTTTACTGCGATGCAATCTCTATACGTGTGTTTCTTTTTGTGATTGTCAGTCTTTTTGACCGAATGTTTTGAGATGATTGACTGGCCTTCTGATGAGATTAAGAATGAAAGCTCTATAATCCTCTGGCCGCAGCGCCGGTCTTTTATTTTAGTGAGAAGCACAAGGATGTGAGAATGTACTCTCTCGTTGAGACTGGGAAGAACGAAGAATTGCGTCTGTCTGAATCCTAATGCATTACTATAATATAGTATATTAATTGTTACACATATTACTTGTATTCTCAGTGTGATGGGAGCTCAATGGAATATCTTGTACAAAGGTACCTGTTAGTGTCTTTGCACATGTTCACCTTACTTTCCTCCATTGTAAATGGATGCGTTTTAGTATAAGAGTTATGTTAACAGAGTATATATTAGGGACCATATGTGAATGGCACAATTGCATAAATCATATTTAAAGTAATCTGTGTGTGTGTAATGTGACAAGTAACTCTTGTATGTGAAGCTCTCTAAGGGAATGTTTCCCTGGCAAATTTTCAGTAGGCACTTTAACAGAATCATAACATCTTTAACAAGATATTTAATAAAGTCAATATAAAGAGAACATGAAACTGTGTGGCTTATTGAAAAAGTAAAATAAAGAACACCCTGAAAAATGACATTTCATTTGTGTCCCTACTCCAAAGTATCCCATTCTCCCAACAAACTGCCTTTATCAGCAGCTACACACACACACACAGAGAGAGAGAGAGTATATATTATTACCTCTCTGCCTAATCATCCTCCAGAAGCTTTGTTTGGCCTCCAGCTGTGTGTCGGATTGGCTGTGAAACCCTTCTCTCCAGCTCCTTCTCATCTTTATTCTTTTCTTGCTCTTTGCATCACTTTTCCCTCCTCTCTTATACTCATTTTGCTTTAAAAGAAAATCCTTCCACCTTTCTACTTTCTATGCCTTTTATTAAGCTACGATTTAGTCTGATTCAGTCTATTTAAGGCCCCATTTCATGAAGAAACAAATGCAATGCTTCCGGTGTTTCATAACCTCTGAATAGAGCACGTAAAAAACCGAGAGGAGAAACTCCGGAGTGAAGCTGCACTTATTCATGGAGATGTGCTCCCGGCGCCCTCTGGTGGTGACTCTGTGCCGATGGTGTGCCAAAAAATGCTTGTATGCCAAAAACTGATTTCCAGTATTTGCCAAAAACTGATTGCTCGTATTTAAACTGCTATAAGTAACTTGTTGGGCTATAATATGTGAAATATACATCAAATGCATCCCTCATGGATGACATAAAGTAATCTTGAGCCACGAACAACATTCGTGTAAAAACGTTGAAGCCACAATCAGTTTTTGGCAGTGACGTTTATATAACCTTTATTTATGCAGTTAAAAAAAAAAATCTCATTAACATTAAAAATGTCTTTTGTAAGAGTAAGTTGGCCAAGACAACAGCAGAAATGGCAGCAAATATTACAATAGTTCAGTAAAAAATATTTTAAGTGGGGATAAAGGACCGGATTGGTTATAATGTAAGTACAATAAAGATACTTGAAAAACAGATAATTTTTTAATTCTATATATAACCCCTTTGTAAACCCTGTTCACCGAAGTCTATTTACCAACATACGTAAAGGTAATACATATAAAAAATACACAGAAACATTGGAAATCACTTTTTGCCACAACACACAGCACATGATAATGATACCTTGTGAAAAGGGCTTCTAATAGTGCTCCTTCTAATTGAAGGAATTTCAGTATGTACAAATAAAAACATAAGTATGAGAATGCTTAGGCCCTAGAGTTAGACTAACTCATAACCCTACTTATATAGAAGAAAGCTTTTACTAGGTTTTACATTAGCATTTGCATGACTCTGGCTCGTGCCAGTTCAACTGGTTTCACTAAATGTGCTGGTATGTATTACAGGAGAAAGACAGATAGCATCTAACAGGCAAGGCATCAGCATTCTGTTCCAATTAAAGCTTTAAGAGTTTTTCACTGCAAGGCGGCTGTGGTGAATGGAAGTGTCACTTATTAAGTCTCACATCTTTCAGCAGGAAGTATGACACAACAGAGTGAGTGGTTTGAACAGGAAACAGCATTATCTGTTAAGATTTAAAAGCAACAATGTGCAGTGTTAAAAGGAGACGCACTGTCTTTCAGGGAGAAACATTATGTCAATATTTTTGACTACTGAGCCACCATAAATTATTAGGTGGCAAGTGCTAAAATAAGCTCAGATGAGCAAGCATCACTGCCATGATCAACTTTAAGCTATAAAAAATACCAACAGTAAAAGATAAAAGCAAGTCAGTTATGTGGATCTCACCACTAGCCTGTAGTAAGGCAATAATGTAAGCTAAAGTCAATAAAGCACTCCTCCTTCCAAAGCAAAAGCACTGCCCTCTGCCCTGTAAAGGCTGGGAAATAAAAAGCTTCATTATACACTGCAATTCAAAGCAGCTCAGTGTAACAATAGAAAAGTAGCTTCAGGGGTAAAGACTGACCTCACGTTTTAGCCCATGTATTCATGTTAATGCAGAAATGCAAAACTACATTGGAAGTAAATTCATGATGTAATTAAAATGTGTTTATTAACAGTTTTGCACGATAACATAAACCAAAAGAAGCCACACATGCATGAATATGTAAACCTGCATATAAAGTGAAATAACCAATGAGCAAAACAACAACAATATAACATAAAAAGATTATTACAGCACGGTGCATTACCACTGTATTTATCCACAGAGTGTCACTGCATGTGCAAAGTAAGAATTAAAAGAAGTCTTGATGTAATTTAGAGGAGGCTCCCAGTTTATATGAAATTTACTAGCAGAGCCATTTAGAAAACATCTAGCTCTGTTCTAATTATGACCTTTTTTTTTTTGAGTGCATGTCAGATTTATTGTGTATGAGACAGAGGAGCCTTGCAATAAGATTACATGTCTTTCTATAAGAGAGAAACAGGGAATAACCTTCTTCACATGGGCGGGGAGCATGAAGCTATTTACAGCTCTACCAAAAATGGCGATTGAGGGTGATGGGAGGAAATGTTATGGCCAAACTTGTGGCATGCATACAGCCTCCTTTGATCTTAAGTGGGCTGAACAAGGAAAAAAAAACCTGTCTGCCACTGTAAAGACGTTTAACTACATATTTAGTCATATTTAATATTAAAAAGTGCAATTTCAACAGTGCATCTCAGTTTTTCTGCACGATGAAGAAATGCTGTAAATGAAAGAAATCTGTCAGCACAAATCAATAAATGAGTAAAATTGCAGAAAAAATTCTGTTAGCTCATTGCCCAGGTGAGTAATTCACATTCATTCACAAAAAACGGAAACAGGAACTTCTCTGTGTTTTAAACATCTTTATTCACCTATTGATTAATTACTTTGGTGCAGTATGAATGGCGGTGGAGGAGGTCTTAATCAGTAACATCCATTGGATTGGATGACTGCCCCCCCCCCCCGGGCGCTATGTTTGACACCCATGGTGTACAGAACCATGAGTGGACTGAATGATGGACGTGTGAAAAACATGTGAATGATTAGAGCTGAGGATTGTTTACATCTGTGTTTGAAGATATTCTAGTCAAGTTTGCTCTCAAGAAGCAGCAACTGTGTATTAATTCAAATTGTGTAAGTACACATCTTGGGGATATGGAAGATTAGTGACAGAGCTAATATGAACCATAATTAAGAACTTTACAAAGTATTACAAAATGTGCCTTGATAGATATAGGAACAAACAGCAAAACTCAGTCTATTTTATTTAAATATTTATTATGTGTGAGCAGGCTATACACAAATAAGATGAACTTATTTTAAATAATTCTAAATGAATCAGTGGTGTGAGTTTCTTGGTCGATTGCTTTTTTTTCTGTTTTCTGTTTGTTTGTGGGGGGGGGGTTAAGATAATGAATTTCGCAGCTTTCACTGAACCAGTTTGCACACAAAGATTTTTACAGGTACATTTTAATGATTTTTGTAGGTTAGGTGTAGTGAACTAGCAGAGCATGAACGCTGCCTGCATTTGATAAGAGACTTGTAACAGAGATAGATTATAGGAAGAAGTTTTAAATGAGGACCGGTTTCTTAACCTAGTCACACAACTTCATACAAAGGCAACTAAGAGTGCTGAATAAATCTAAATGTATGTAATTTGATTAAAATAAAATAAAATAAAATAAAATTGTAAGATTAAAAAGGCAAGATATATGTGACAGTCATTTTGCAGTTTTATCTTTCTTTTAAATGTGAACGAATATTCGTTTAGGATTTTATGTGCTGCTGTCTGTCACTATAGAGGCTTGTTAATATTAATTAGCTATTACCGACAGGAATTTCAAAGTTTTGAAAAGGCGTTGTTTCCTGCCACGTAATGACGCATGCGCATCAGTTCGCTTGTCGTTTGGCGACGTGTACCCGGTGAGTGGAAGTACTAAGGACTCTTAACTCGCTGGGTAACAAGCGGCCTTAAACCAAACTAAAAAGGCCTTAAAAGAGCAAAAGTATGGGTGGTTCGCAGAGTGTGGAGATACCGGGAGGAGGCTCCGAGGGATACCACGTCCTCCGGGTGAGTTTGTAGCTTCTATAGCCTGCTCTTAGCTCTTAGCTTAGCCTCCGGTCTGAGGCGAAGAATTCCCGGTTGTATGTGTTGACTTGAGGCCGGGGATGACTGCCGGGGCCTCCAGTCCAGCAAACCACCACGTCTGGGAAATGTGTAGTTTAAAGCTGTGTCAACCCAACACGCATCTTTAATCACGGTGTCTGTGTATGCCTGCTGCTCAGCTAGTTAAATATGCTTGCTGAAAGCAAAGAAACCGTAGGGCTAGTTGATGCTACGTCGCTAATTTGAATGACAGCTGCCAAGCTAGTTTTAGTAATAGACTCGTTATCAGACACTTACCTTGTGCACAGGGCTTTTTACCCTGTTTACATATGCTTAGCCTTTGATTAATCGACCAGTGAGCTAAAATGAGCGTTTAGTATTTGTCGTCCAGTAGTGGTAACAGTGATATCAAAATAGCAAACACAGAGGCTAGACTTGATAGCATGAGTGTAGGATGAGTAGGATTGACCCCCATCCTGATTATGGTTTTCACACAGTGGTATTTGTATACAGGGTAACTCAGATCAAAGGCTGATTTGACGTCTTTGTATCCTAGAAGTTGCTCATTTGTAAGCCAGTTGAGTCATGACTAGTTTGCATGTTGATCAGCGCGATTTATTTGGAGGAAACTTGAATTTCAATAAAGCATCACAGCCTAGCAGCTGAGGATATCCCTCATTTTCATACAGGTTCAAGAGAATTCGCCTGGGCACCGGGCAGGGCTGGAGCCTTTCTTTGACTTCATCGTCTCCATCAACAACACCAGACTGGTGAGAAAATGCAGCACTTGCAGCTGGCAGGATGAAATAAGAGCCTTATGGAAGGCTACAGTTCACCGTTGCCCCTTTCTCTACTTATGTTTGTTTCATTTTCTGCAGAACAAGGACAACGACACGTTAAAGGACTTGTTGAAAGCCCATGTCGAGAAACCAGTGAAGATGCTAGTTTACTCCTCAAAGACTCTGGAGCTGCGGGAGGCCACGGTGACCCCCAGCAACCTGTGGGGGGGTCAGGGCTTGCTCGGTGTCTCCATTCGCTTCTGCAGCTTTGAGGGAGCCAATGAGAACGTGTGGCATGTCCTGGTAGGTAGCCACAAAGGTTGTGTGTTGCATCATCTCCGTCTGTGTGACACAGCAGTAATTTTTCTATGTCTAATAGGAAGTGGAGCCTAATTCCCCAGCAGCCCTTGCTGGCTTGCGGCCACACACTGACTATATAATTGGAGCCGATACTGTTATGAATGAGGTTGGTTACCCATACTTATCTTGGTTCTTGCTGCTTTCACTCAATGTTACTAGTTCCTGAAGATTTACCTTCTTGTCCTCCTGTTTCTGCAGTCCGAGGACCTCTTTTCTCTAATAGAGAGCCACGAGGGGAAGGGCCTGAAACTGTATGTGTACAACACAGACACTGACAACTGCAGAGAGGTTGTTATTACACCTAACACTGCCTGGGGAGGAGAGGGCAGGTAATACACAGACTCCTGTTGGAATTTGTGTATTTTCAAAATAAGCGTCCTATTTATTTGCATCTGACATGATTAAAAATGGAAATGCATAAATATTATCAGCCAAGTAAGGTCAGCTATTTTTATTAATGATGATGTCCTTGAACAAATGAGCCAAAATGAGAATAAATAAAAAGGCCGATTTAAATCTCTTTTTAAAACATGAGCATAAAGGTGGTAAATTAAAGGTCTCAGACCAGGTGGATGTCAAATGATTTTCACTGGGGAACACTTTATATTCTCAGTGTTCTTTTCCCCTTCTCTAGCCTTGGCTGTGGGATCGGCTATGGATACCTCCACAGGATTCCCACCCGGCCGTTTGAGGAGGGGAAGAAGATCAGTTTCCCTGGAACTTCTTCCAGTGAGCCTGTCAGTCCACTGAAAGACGGATTTACTGAGGTCAGAATGTACACATTTATTTAAAAAACAGGGCAGTTTAAAGCTGCTTAAGTATGACTCTGTTGAAACTTTTTGTACCTGTGTCTTGGAGTTTGTGGGGCTATAAATCGATACCCACTATCAATCGCTTAAATTACTTGGTCTATGTGCAGGTACGGCATTGGAAGGGTTTGAGTGTTTGTTTTCATTTAGCATGCACACAGCCTGTTGGAGAGAACAGTTATGTTTTTCAATAGATTCAATGAAAATGTCTACCTTCTGCAGGTGCAACTTTCAGCAGTCACCCCTTCTCCTGCTGCACCTGCAGTTCCCTCTGGCCTTGAAGGGTCACTGTCTGCCCTGTCAATCAGCTCCTCAGCCCCACCCACCATGCCCAGCGAGCTGCAGACAGGTATGTCTGCACTTTCACTCACAGACGTTTGTTAAATCCACCAGTTTTAAGTTTGATACACGGCAGGAATATTCTCATCTAATGTTTAATGTCTCTCTTCTTCCAATTCAGGTTTGCCTACAGTCCCTCTTCTGCCCACCTCCACTAACCCCTCACTCACCCCTCTGCCTCCGCTGAATCCTGCCACTGCCGGCTTGAACCCAGCCACCACGCTACCAGGTGATTTCAGCAAGGTTCACACCCTTCCTCAATAAAGACACAAGTCTTTGTGTACACATTACACACATTCAGTGAACATATTCATGTTGACGTTTCCCACACTCAGAATGACTTTCCTTTACAAAGCCTCATCAACTACCCCCTGCCCTTTCTTCTCCCCTGAGCCTTCTTTTTTTTGCTCACATCAGTGGCAATGGTGCTTTGTTATTTCTTTTGTTTTTTTAGTTGTGATTTGTGCCTAGTTTTACCTTTTAGAGTGGTTTACTGCATTAAAGCTGCACGCATTCTGAAGAGCAGTGTACATAAGACTGAGGAAGTCTAAGAACATGAATGATTATGGTGGTTATGTGGATGTGTTTGCATTTCTAGGTCTGATACCCCTCCCAGGTAGCTTAACAGCGCTCCCTAACCTTCCCAACCTGCCAGTCCTAGATCTCAGTGGTGTGTCACTAGCAGGCGGCAGCACCTTACAGCCACCAGCAGGGATGACAGGTGGGTAATGAAGACTTTACTCCAGTCTTTGCTTTTAAGCTTATGGAATAAAGGATCAGTTTAGTTTTTGAAAATGAAATATTATTTAATTACTACCAAACCAGGGAAGAAGTCTTGTGGGTAAACTGCTTCAAGTCTGTTCAGTGAGCAAAACGCACTGTTGCATTTAGGCAGCTGAGTGTGATCAGGAGATGGTTTGTAGTCAGATCGTGATGGTAAAAACATGTTCATGCCAGCGTGTGTTGTGACCCTTTATTTCTCCAAATCTCTACAGAGCAGCTAAAAAGAAGGTGAAGTGAAAATGTTCTGTGTTTGAAAAGTTAACTTGAGTTAAAAAAAAAAAAAAAACTAACATGAAGGAGGCACCTCAGTTATCCTCTCTTATCTGTCTTCAACAGTCCCATCTCTGGCTCCACTCCCACCCCTGAACCTTTCAAACCTGGCCACGTTGCCTCCTCTGCCCACCATGCTGCCCTCCCAGCTGCCTCCTGTCCTCTCTCAGGGTTTGACTCCCATGTTGCCAACTTCCACTGCCGCCCCTCCAGCTTCAGTTACTGTCACAGCAGCACACATGATTAATCCAGCCACCGAAGCCACAGCCCCCACAGAGGCAGGATCCACGAGCACCACGGAATCTCCAGCACCTACGGAAACAACACTAACGTCGTCATAACGTGGGAAATATGACTCCACTTCCCGTCAAACTTAAACACACCTGGTTTGGCTTATCCTTCCATCTGTCATTCTCCGTGTTTTCTATTTATTTGGCTAAGAGTGAACAGACGCATCAGTTCAGACACAGAGGTCAGCATGCTCACGGGCAAGGAAGCTTGTGTGGATGCAGAGAACGGAAAGCGCCTGTAGACTGGTCTGACTGCTGTGTCTGTATTCCCTGATGGCCATAACGCAGAGGAACTGTTAGCACTGCAGCTTGCCTAAGCTACTGCTTGCGGAAGATGAAGTCTACTCATTCATTTGTAGTTTACTTTTCACTTCTGCAGTTAGACAAGGCAAAGACCTCTGAGATTTCCGCCTTTCTTGTATGGAAAACCTCTCTGTTTAAGTTTTATATAACAATTTATGTTAATGGATCTGGATGATAAACAGTTTATTGAATTGCCAACATAATAAAGATAAAAACCGGGATTACAGCTGGAAGTAAGATGTTAAATGAATTAGTCCAGTCCAGAATGGAACTCACCATACTGGAAGAAATCAGACCATAAACCCAAGAAAAGAAATGTTTGTGCTGCTGAATAAACAAGTAAACAAATCCTGAGTGTGATCAACCAACAATTTCCTGTATCTTTTTTTTCTTATTAGTTAATAGAACCACCAGTCAGTAGATTAATTTGAGTCATATGTATTCATTTTTTGTTGCTGTATGTCTCCACCCAATGAATGAATCTGCATTATTTTGCACCACCTTTGTGTTTTAAAATTTATTCCCCTTGTGTGTCTCCTTGTATATCCAAAATCTGTACTTCATACCATCTCAACAACACCGAGAACAGTGAGAGCCCGAAGGCCGTGCCAGAGGATACAGAGGTTTACAGAAACACGAGCTACTGAGTAGAGTGTGCACTTGCTGCTGGATACATTAAACTTGTGAGAGGTTTTTAATGCAGAGCATATCTCCTGGCATGGTCTGAGTGGAGTGGCAGAGCTGCAGTATGGCCACAAGGTGTCACTGTAACAGAACTTTCTGAGAATATCTGCAGTATGTACAGGGCACGCAATAAAGCCAAATTAATTTTAACAGCTGCCTTTGTGTGTCAATTTATGTTGTGCAATGTTTGTTGCTACTAGTGAAAGCTACTTTGCACTTTCAATGTCCCAGATAGACAAAAACAACATGATGAAAATGGCCAAAAAGAAAATACAAGAACAAACAAGGTATTATGGAAAACTGGTGCAGCAGGGCTTGTGTATGGGAAGCTAGAAGATTCAATATTCTGCATCTAAGCAGCATTTCAGAAACCCACAGAATAAATATTTGGGGAACAAAAGAAATTTACATCTGCCTAATAATTCAGTTGTAAAGCAAACATATACGAGGTGCTAAAGATTGCAGTCACCAGAAAACATGTCTTTCAAAATTTGATACACTTTTTCATAATTTTTAGACAACACCTGATCATCGAAACAGTTTTCACATCATACACACAACCTGGAAAAAAACAAACAAAAAAAACACTACTTCTAGTTCATCACACACCTCATCAGAAAATAAAAAATGTGAAGTCTGCTCAGCCTTGTGTGGTCGTGTCACAGTGATCAAACAGTCTTTTTCATATTTCAAAAATGTGAAACATCTGTATACAGTAAACATTAAAGATTCTCCTATTAACACTGTACTCTTTAAAAGCAGAAAACGTTATGGTGACCGCTGGGAATCTGATGTGATTGGGTTGTACTTTTTATCCCACTTTTCTCATTTTCATTTGAAAAACAAGACAAAAGCACGGTCCTTCCAGAAGCAAGTCTTACCACTCAGCAACTGTTCTGAAACACCTCTGGACAGTTATGTTGAAGCATGACTTAAATTAGCTTTAATTCAGTTATGGAGACATAAAAACAGAACATTTTTAACAGAGCTCATCGGCAGACCAACATCATCAGGCTATACCAGCTGTTTGCTGATCTATCTGTATCGCCCTTTATAAGCATTTAAAAGTGAAAAGATAAAAAGAAAGGTGTTGATGTTGCACAGTTTGTTCAGTGCAACTGGTATCAGTGTTAAAACTGTATAAGTTGGGCTCTAGTATTAACTCTCCAATCAAAATGCTTAAAAACAAAACACACACAGACACACAAAACTTGCTAATTGCATCAAAATGAAGTTTTAAAAACCTTTTCCACCTTTTTCAAACATCTACTGGTTCAAAATGTTCCTGTAAATTCTTCAAATAGCACCTCTCCTTCTGATAATATACATGTTGAATATGCATTGCATTGCTGGTCTCATAAGACTGCAATCTCATTTGTTTACACATTTTACAGTCTTGTGCAACGTAATTATAAGAATTAAATTTAAAACATCTTTACTAGAGCAATGCATGTGTCTTATAAGACTTGCAAACACTTGGTATTGGGAGGGGAAATGGAAAATTCTTCTAAATGAAAACACGTCTGTGAAAAAAATGGATACATCAACAAGTTACATTTCTGCTGAAATTTTTTAAAAACATCTATAAAACATCCCTCCTCTTAAGTTCTTGATGTTGATCTTCAATTCGCCTTTGAGTCTGTGCGTTCTGATCCAGCTCATACCATCACACCATGAGCCACAAGTGTGAGCAACCTTGATTCGTGTGAAAGGAAGAAAAGAAAACATCCGTACTGTAAAAATATTTTGATTCTGCCACCTGTGGTTTCTGTTGTGTATCACAAGTACAAAATGTGTTGCAGTGAGTAAGAATGTGGTTAGTTTTGCAAAAGAAGCACATGAGCGTGGGGAATTGTAAGTAACTGAGAATAATTATTAAAGGCTTTGCTAAAAGAGAGACTGACTGAATAAATAGGCTCAGGCTACAACATTTCCTATAGATAATGAGAAATTTGTGTTTGAGAAATGCAGAAAAAAGCTTTAATAAAAGCCTGAAAGTGAACAAAAACTCCAAATGTGTGAAAATAATGGCAAAAAAACAAAGTGAATTGAACTTCCTCCAGGTCCTTAATTAGGGGGAAATGACATCAGTGGTTATAGACGCTGCAGATGTATGTATACTGGTATAATACTCATACCTAAAATACTTATATTTTTAATATATATAAGCAATCACATACCCTATTCTTATGTGTAGTGATTACTAAAAACCTATTTTTGGCATTTAAAAGCGACTGTAGTTAGAAGTGACAGTAATTGTGGAGTGGAAAAGAGATCCTGCACATGCTTGAAACTTACCGAGCTGGAGGTTTATAAAAGGCAACGATACACAAACAGAGCTAATAAATCTGATGAAGGACAGCATGTTCTGTCTTTGTGGATACACACACTTTTTAGTTCTGTATGTTCAGTTTTATGCACCTCCCCCACTGATGCTGGGCGCCAAGATTAACCTAAGACATTCTCTAATTAACCTTGTAAAATTCAAACTGATGGCCTTCAAAATAAATTGTATGAATAAAATATCCATATTACAACAATCCTTTCTTCCCTCCATACCTTTTAACCACATTCAGGTGAGATTGTAATTGCACACTGTAACACAAGCCTGCTACAGCATTAAAATACACTCACCGGCCACTGTGTCGGGTACCCCATGTCACCTGCTTCTTTATCGGTTTTCTGCATTTTATCGGGGGGGGAATCATATTTGATAACTCCAAAATCTTGTATTGTCCTACAATTGAACTGTAGGATTGAAATTTTGAAACAAAACTGAATTGTCAGAGGTCAGAGGATAATGGACAGGCTGCTTTGTGCCGATGAGGAAGTCAGATAACCACAGGTATGCAGAGAAGCGTCTTTAAGCACACAAAACACAGAACCCGGAGGCAGATGAGCTACAGCAGAAGAAGAACACACCAGGTGTCACTCCTGTCAGCTAAGAACAGGAAACTAAAACTTCACACGTGGCTTACCAAAACTGCGAAGCAGAAAACTGCAAACACACTGCCCAGTCAGAAGAGCCTTGATTTCTGTTGCGACGTTCGGATGATAGGCTCTCAATTTGGCATAAAAAACATGAACGCATGGGTCCATCCTGCCTTGTACCAGCAGTTCGGACTCAGTATCGACTGCTGAGTCGATACTTGCCTGTATATCATTACTGACCATGTTCATCCCTTTTATTACCAGTGTATCCATCGTGCCTGTATAACACACGTCGCAAAACTCAATCATCTCAAACTGGTTTCTTGAACATGACAAGCTCGCTGTCAGCAGATCTCAATCTGTTTGGGATGTGGTGGAACAGGACATCGTCATCTTGGATTTCAGCCAATAAATCTGCTGCAGCTGTGATGTCATCATGTTAATGTGGACCAGAATCTCTGAGGAATGTTTCCAGCACCTTGTCAAATCCATGCCACAAAGACTTAGGGAAGTTCTTAAGGAAAAACTGTCTCCATTAGTGTAACTAATGAAGTGACTACCAAGTTTTTATATCTATCTATCTATCTATCTATAGCTACGCATACATAAATATAAATATCGCACTTTCTTTGGCAATTACCACATGGGTGTTATCGCCTTCCTCCAGTCTCCATCTTGTTGCACTTCCACCAAAGTTACATAACCCTCCACAGGAAATATGGGTTGCACAGCAGGAACTAGTTCTTGTAGGGCAATCTTTTAACGACGAAGCCTAGCATCAGATTCCAAACATGATATGGCTTTTACTTTACTAATGGATGTATTTCTATTAAAACATGTTTTGCTGTGTGTACCTGATATTTCACACCGTTCTGTTCAGCAGATGAAAACAGAGGGCGGTGTGTTTGTTTCTTTTATTAAACTTGAAACTTGTTATTCCACTTCCTCACTTGCTTTCACTTTCACACAAGCCATGGGAGCTCCTCTCCTGCACTTTAATGCTCTTGTAATGTTTCTGAATTGATGTTGAGTTTCTCTGTTTGTTTTTTACCCATATGACAGCTAACATTTCAACAATCAATTCAGGATAAATGTTTAAATTAAAGCATTATTTTTATCAATCCCCTTATCACTTGCGGCACATAAAATTCTTACCAATCCGGGATCCACGTTGCCTACATTTGTGAGGGCTTAAAAGGCACAAAACCATACAGGTAAGTGTTTTATTTAGACAATGACAACATTTGGATATATCCACTCAAACTCTAGCCGCAGTAAATCTTGCTGCAACCGCAGCCAACCTGGAGCGTGCACACTTCTGCTGGCATGAACATTTCTCACTACACAGCGCACTGGGCCTTTGCTCTATAGGTCTGTCGGACTTTTACATCAAAATAATCAAAAAAAGTTTTGTGGGTGGGAAATAGACCAAAAAAAACAAAAACACAGAGGCTGAATGTTGGTGGCAGAAGAATGTGTTGCATTCCCTTGAACAGCACAGCGGGCGTCTTATTTTATAAGAACAAACAAAAAAATCCTCTTAACACAGTTCAAGTATGCACATATGCGAGGTGAAAATCATTCACAGACGTGTTACAAACTAAAAGCGACACTTATAGCAGCAAACTGAGAACAGCTTTCAGGAGGAGATACAAATTAAATGGAGCTAAGTGGTAGCAAGGAAAAGCCTCAATATTATTGATCTGCTAATGATTGACGTCTCCTGCACGCGAAATCTACAACCAATTCTGCGTCCTGATGACAGCAACAGCTGATCCAGCCCCCCGCCCCCTCTTCTTCAGGAGAGCTGGCGGGCGGGCGGGGGGGTACAACATGACGGATTTTTTTACCTGAACAAAAAACGATTAAGACAGATTCACAGATCCACTTCCTGTAGACCTCAATTATGTTGTAAAGCAACAAAAAGGAGGATAAAAAAAAAAAAAAGTAAATGGAAGTGAAATTTGATGAAGCGGGAATAAAGCCCACATTGCAGTGCTAAAAGCCAGCTAGGAGACCAGATGAAGGTAATCTGGATTGGAAACGCAAACTGAATCCAGAAATATGTAATTTTTTTCCTTTTTTTTTGTTTTTAAACATCAAGTCTGATAAAGGTTACGTGGTCACTTCAGAGTCCTCGTCTCAGATCACTTTTTAAGTTAATCCCTGTGGGGTGCAGATAGGAGGCTACAGGTAAAGTCATTCGGGCGTCTCATTAA